TGCTGCTGCTGCTGCTGCTGCACCTGCTGCTACTGCTGCTGCTGCAGCCCCCGCTGCAGCAGCTGCTGCTGCATCTCCTGCTGCAGCTCCTGTTGCTGTTCGCGCTGGTTCTAGCAAGAGTGCCTGTGGGCATTTGTTTAGTGCAGCGCAGGGACTGCCATTGCCTGCTGCTGCTGCTGCTGCTGCTCCTGCTGCTGCTGCTGCTGCTGCTGCTGGTTCCAGGCCCCCCCCGCGAGCTGAGGGGCCCTTGAGGGTCTGCGGCCTTCTCTCCTGTCCCCTCCTCCCTGGTGCTGCAGCACGACCCATGTCTGCTGCTGCTGCTGCTGCTGAGAGGACACAACCCCTAGGAGCGCCAGCAGCAGCAGCAGCAGCAGCACCAGTGGGGGCTGCTGCATGGGGAAGGGTGCTGCCTCCTCCTGCTGGTGCTGCTGCTGCTGCTGCTGGAGCCAGCGAGGATTCAAGGCAGCAACGCGGGGAGCCCGATCACCTGTTGCTGCTGCAGCTGCAACAGCTGCAACAGCTGCAGCAGCAGCAGCTATTGCAGCAGCAGCAGCTGCTGCAGCTGCAGCAGCAGCCGTCTCCGAAGGGAAGAAGTTTTGCTGCTGGTGAGCTGCAGCAGCAACTGAGGAGCAATTCTGTTGCTGCTGCAGCTGCAGCACCAATACAGGGAGAAAGTGGGATCACCTCTACTGCTGCTGCTGATGCTGCTGCTGCTGCTGCTGCTGCTGCTGCTGCTGCTGCAGCGCAGCAGCAGACTTCAGAGCGGTGGATACCAGCGCAGCAGCGGCTGCTTCAGGGCCCAAGGGAAGGGACGGACACGCAGCAGCAGCAGCAGCAGCATCATCATCATCAGCAGCAGCAGCAGCAGCATGAGCAGCAGCAGGAGCAGCAAGCCTGTCGTTTGCATTGCGAGGGGACAGATGTTCTCTTCTTTGGGGGCGGAGCGGCTGCTGCGCTGCAGCAGAACAGAAAAGGAGACAAAAAAAAAGAAAAAAGAGAAACAGAGGAGACAGCTGAGGAGACAGCTGAGGAGACAGCTGTGGGGTGGACGAAGCAAGTTGCTGCTGCAGGGGGGTTGCTGCAGCATCACCATCACCACCATCATCATCATCAGCAGCAGCAGCAGCAGGAGCTGCAGCAGCAGCAGCAGCAGGAGCAGCAGCAGCAGCAGCAGCAGCAGCAGCAGCAAGCGTTGAGTTTGTCTACTGAGCTGCAGCGGCTGTCTGCCCTGGAGCTGCCGCTGCAGCAGCTGCTGCAGGACCAGGAGCTGCTGCTGCNGAGCTGCAGCGGCTGTCTGCCCTGGAGCTGCCGCTGCAGCAGCTGCTGCAGGACCAGGAGCTGCTGCTGCTGCGGCTGCTGCTGGTGGCCCCCAGTTAAAACAAAAGAAACAGGAAGAAGGTGGAGAAACAGAGATAGAAGCAGCAGCAGCAGCAGCAGCAACAAACAAAAAAAAAACAAATGATAGACAGAGAGAGGCCCCGCTGCTG